TTGAGCCCCGCCGCCATCCAGATATGACGTACAATGATTGACAGTTTTAAATTGTTTCCCTAATTTACCCGGCGGAATAAAAGAAAACAAATGATCGATCGATGGGTGTATGACTGCTGTTCTGGTACACGCTACAGCAGTCGATTTCATCTCATGACCAAATATGACATTGCGACGCACAAGGATAACAGCAACAAATGGATTTGCACTGGATTTTGATAACTGATTGAATGTGTTTCGATTGTTTTTGCCATCAATTATGAAATAAGAAAACAAATCCACCCATTCCGTGCAATGGCTCTCAATCGTCAAAATTGCTATAAAAACGATTTACGATCAGAGAGAAAGGGAAGATTTAGAAAGACTTGGTTTGCTCTCGTCCGCAAAATAGTAACCAACCAATCTAACTATTTGCTTGTCGGTCGCTTCGTTTATTCTAAAACAATCCCATTTCAGTATGGAAATATGGACAAGCTATGTACCTTAACAACAATAACAATGGAGTGATAGAAAAAAAAGGACAGACAACTGGATATTGCGATCGCAATAAAAAAAAAGAATAAAGCAAAAATCTACAATAGTAAATTTAAAGCCAAACGAATATGAGTTAAACTGAAAGCGTACAAAATCCATAGAGTTTTTTTTTCTTCAACACTGTTTTTGTTGTTGCTCTCCGTCAATAATTTAAATATGAGATCTGAGCCAAATGAAACAAAAAATGAAATAAAATAAAATTAACAACTACAGTACCACTCGTAAAATCTATATTAAAATGGTTTGTGTGCTCGGGTATCTCGGACAAATGTACCATACGTGTATATATGCGTTTATATATTTGTGTGTGCATTTGACTGCGCTCGCTGTGTGTGTGTATGTACGCATAATCAAGATCAGAGACCCAACAGATGTACAACTATAATGTAATAAATCCGAACTTTCGTACACACACAGTATTTACCGAAATGAAAAAGCAGCAGCAGCAGCAACAGCGGCAGCGACAGCAACAAAATAGTGTAATAAATTATACTTTTATACGGTACAGCGGAACAGCAAAGCCATGGCTACATCAATAAGCACTAATACTTGCCATTCTTGTTGTAATACAATTTTTTTTCTCCCTCTCTCTCTCTCTCTCTCTCTGTCGTTGTCGTCGTCGTCGTCGTCGTCGATGTTGTTGTTGTTTTGTTCTTTCCGTTGTTCAGTTCGTTCAGTTGTTGTTCCATATGCCATCCCGTTCGCTCGGGGTGTTTGAAAATACGCATTTTTACCATTTTGTGTATTACCTCATAGTGAACGAACGAACGGTATATATGGCTCTGTTGCATGGCTTCGGCACACATACACACATGGAAATTCTGTAAATACACACACGAGCACACAAAGCGGAATATGCACATTTGGCTTCAATCGAACGAAAGGACAGAGATAGAAAGTGAAAACAAAAAATGCACATAATGTAATTTATTGTAATACTATGTGTCGAGAGAACGTGGAATATAAATAGAGAGAGGGAGAAAAAAGAATAAAAAAAAGGAACATATCGCAACCGCTACTTCCAGTTTTATAGTTCCGAAAGCAAACGAGAAGTGCGTGTACTAATCATTCAAGCGAATGAATCAGTCAGCTACCGTGAATAGTCGTCTCGATATGGCCAAAAGGAAGCTTGTTTATTTTGTTGTTGTTGCTGTGTCGTTCTGCAGGCAACCAGAGCAAATTGTAGATAGACAACGGGTAATTGTCAAGAGTAAATGCAATTGAATTGGTCGTTGCCAATTTTTTCCGATATAAATATGACGTTTTCATTCATGGAAATGACAATTGCCGAGGAAATAGATTGGCCACATACAACATGTCTACCGGCCCACCGTTGAAACAAAGCGATAAAACTACCATTTTCGTCTATAAAGCAAACCAACTGAAAGGAGAGAAAAAGAAGAGATTGCAAAATCATTTCGATGATTGTGTGCGGCTCCATTCTGGAGAATTTTATGCTGACACATTTTACCACTCTCATCTAATTTTCAGCGTTGGCTCCTTTTTTCTTCATCTCTCTGTCTATGTACTTTTTCACTCTCTTTAAATCGACAATGATTGGCTCAATTTAATCATAATAAATTACACATTTGATATTCTGTCCACTTTCATTTCACTGCAGCAACTACTACAGCACATACAGAGCACACACACACACACACACACACTAGCCTACGGGCAAAAAGCAAACCGAGACAATGACAGATAAAATAAAAACTGCATTCCCATTGTTTTTGAAATATGATTATGCGCATACGAATGCGATGTTACAAGTATGGCACAGCTAAATTTGATTTGGGATGCGAGCGTGCGGAGTGCGGCAACGGCAGCGAATCGTGTTTTAATGCACAAAATGAGAGGCCATTACGAGAAAATCGGAACATTTGTTCGCTAGCTTTTTTTTTGTTCAATGCTAATAGGTTGATCCATTAGAAATCGTCTCTCAATCAAATTCTTAACAGATGGTTACTTGCACTTTTGCTGCATGCAGCTTTCTTCATGGCAAACGTTCTATCGACAATCAACTGAATCGACTTTCTGGCATTCCAAACGAGGCAGGGGCTCTGAATTATATTCCGATCATGTTGGTCTTATCGATGCAATTGAGAATAATTTCATGTATGAGTTGGTGGCTTGACCTTGCACAATGCGATTGCTTTGGTCATAACTTTTCAATTCACCAGCGAACATTTTCCGTAAAGTGCGCAATATGGATTATACCAATCCCTTAGCACCTAACCCAAGTGTTATCATTGTGTGTCGGATGGACCCCAAAAAACATTGTCCAACGGCAGCAACCTGTCTGTGTATATTTTTCCTATTAAAACGATTAACGCTATTGTCATTTACATCGTTTGTATTGTTTTTGCTGGTTGGGCTGGTGGTGTCACACGCGCGCGAAGCATCATACACACCATTCGGGAAGTGGTAGCCCTATTCAGTATCATACACTCAAATTTCAACAGCATTTTCACCCATTTTTTCGGAATCTTTCCGCCGTGTTTATGCTATTCATTGAATATTATTAGGTAAAATTCTCCCCCCAAGTGAGATATTCCTCTCTCTTGCCACATTACCTCACACGCAATATTCGACAATTGATGGATAAACATGGTGTGTGTGTGTGTAGCACAATACAACTTGCCTTTGGTTGGTTCGGTGATACACCGAATTAACCATTGCATAACAACACAAATTTACACTCGTGCACCACGAACTGGGAACACGGTGCAAGAGAGCAGATAGAGAGAGAGAGAGAGAGAGAGAGTGAGTCTAAATGTGGTGCAAGTATACATGCACCGCTATTTCTCCACCATATCATAACAAACAAATAACATATTTAATAAAAACATTCTCATATAATGGTTAACGCCATATTCAACACACCGCTATTTTGCCATCATCATCATCGATTGCACATTCAAGGAACTACACTTGCGATTTAATTTGTTCTTCTCTCAACTCGGCTCACGGTGTGTACCGTGGTGCGACACTGTATTTTGAATCAAAGAGCTCGGCGGAAAGCGGGCAATCCGAACACAATTGAAAATGATGATTGTTTTTCCCCATAAAAATATGATCAAATCGCAGTGAACTCGAACAAAGATTCACACTAAGAGAAGGGTCGCTGTTCCTTCAGTTCATTACCTAGTCGTTACGTGAATTTTTAGAGTCGAATAATCGCTTTAAAATACACGGACCATGGTGCACGGCGCGCTACATGCTATACATTCACTCAACTTCCCTTGTCTATTTATGCCCTTCCTCCCCTGCCCCGGTGTGCAATACATACGTACAGCTACTTGAAATCGGTGTTGTGCCCCCATCAATATAAATACATCCATTCTTTTTAACGCTGCTAAAACGTTGTGTATTTGCCATGACGAATTCTTCTTGTTTTTTTTCCCGAATAAAAATAATCACAACCGCACTTTTCATCACAAAGTTGAAAACACATTCCGAGCCTGTTGTTGTGCCGCGTTTGTGTATATGTGTTTGTTTTTTTTCATCGACAGGATTTGCTGCCGTGTTAAACATTGCGACCTTCAATCATCGACTGATTACAAAAGAAAACACCTCGAAGCAAATGCCACACACTCTCTGCAATGCATAGCTATTGTCACTTAGTATTTTGTCGAAATGGCTTTGGAAATTTTTGGCGTGCAAAATTTTCCATTCATCGTCAAATGTGCGCGCAACAAGTTCAAATCGAAAATCGCATGTGTTGTACATCGTTTATTTGACGACGCCAACGATGACGACGACGGCGACGACACATTTTTGTTTTGTCGGTCGTTTCCCATTATTTGGCGATAAATTTAGCTTGAACAAGGCAACAACGACGAAGAAATAAAGAAATAATTTGTATCCACCTCCCCTTTTGCATTTGTTTCCAGCGAAATGTCTCGCAACATCGCGTTTCTGTTTCCTATTTTCATTCAAATTTGTTTCGTCGTCGTTGCCGCTGCCGCTGCCGCTGCTGCTGCTGCTATTTATTGTCGATGTTGTTATTATTTTCGTCGCCCTTATTGTTGAATCCATTCAATTTTTTTCCGCTCTTCTGTTCATTTCTTACCTTTAACACATTGTTGTCGTTGTTGTTTTTCTTTCGTTCATTCTTCTGGTGTTGCCATTTTCTTTCCGCCATTTTCCATAAAAAAGTTAATAACCTTTATTTCTTTTTTCGTTTTGTTATTTTGGGAAGATTCACCCTCTTGATTTTCCATCATCATCAGACATTTTTTATTCGCCCCTTTCTTCTTTATTTTTCCAATCATCACAATCGAAAGATGAACGAAAAATAAAAAATAAATAAACTAAGAGAAAAACAATCGAGCAAAAGCAAAATAAAAAAAAAACACTCACACACACACACACACACTGATTGAAATCACACACAATGCCATTCACCGTTGAAATCGTGCCCGTTTTTCGAAAATTAACATGTCAAAATTGTAAAATTTCAGGAAATTGCCCGGCTGAAACGAGAAAAACTCAATAAACAGGTAAATTCGTTCGCATTCTGAACATACACACACACACACAATCTCAGTCAGAATTACGCACTCACAAACGGTGACCATTGCTCAAGTCGCCTAGTTTATTGTTTGTTTTTTTATTCCGTTTTTCAAGCCAACATTGATTTGTTTTTCGATTTGTTGTGATTTCATTGACATTTTTTTTCGTTCGTTGTTTTTTCACTTTTGCACGTATGTGTGCGCGCGCGCATTCGGCAAAGAACCTTCATTTGTCGACTATTTTCTGTGCACCTCATCATTTTGCTCAATTAATGACTACACTGTGTGCTCTTTTTTTTTGTATCGAGTGTTTTCTCTGGAAATTCGTCTCACTCTTCGAAGAAAACCATTTGATATAGCACAACAACTGAAATGCACCAAACGCTTGTTATTTTTTTTTCTACTTTGCTTCTAATTGAAGCAAAGATAATGAAAAAAAACCGTTCCGTTAACTATGTGAACTTAATACAATGTCAACATCAGGGTAAGTTTTTCTCTGAGAAGAGAGACACGTTGTTTGTTCGTATTTAAGCATTTCGAATGTGTTATGCTGGCGAAGAAGATTCACACGGAAACTGTGAAGCAGCTTGGGTCTTTTTTGTCACACTGATCCTGGGAATGATCCTAAAACGAATATGAAGGCAAATGTAGGAAAAAAAATGTAATGAAGATGCAACAAAACGGTACAATAACAACAACAACCGAAAAAAAATATCACGTCTTGAGTTTCCACTTAACGGGATTGATTGATATGCATTCATTTTATAGCCGAGCATTAATTCCAAAGCAAATTGAAGCCAACACGAACGAATGTAAAAAAAATGGTAATAAAAAGTTGGAAATGGATTCACAATAACAGTTAACCATCGAAAATCGTCTATTAAATCAATATTTATTCGGTTCTTCATAATACGAAGAAAAAAATCAACTCTCACAAAACTGTAAACGAATTGAAGAGAGAGAAAGAGAGAGAGAGAGAAAAAAAGCGTCATGTATTTGACCGTTGCTAAGGTTTCTAAAGCTGCCTTCTTTTTTTTCAACAAAGGTGCAAATGTACAATAGTCAACCAGGAAATAAAACGCATAAATTAATAACGAAGAGAGAGCAAGCAATAAAAACGGCAAAATATAAAAATGTTCGGGTACTTTAGGTGAAATAGACAATAACAACAACGAAAAAATAGGCACATTCACAACAGATGCGCTTCGAAATAAGAGATCGCATTAAGACCGAACATGTGCGAGTCAGGCAAGAAATGAAAATAGGCCCGAATGAAACGAAGAGAAACGAAAATATGAAAGCATTACTAGTTGAATGATCGGACTGAAAAACATCAGGATAGCGACTACGAATATTCTGGGATAGTTTTGACAACAGCCACAATTCTTCAGTGTTTATCTAGTTTTGTTTTTTTTTTTCTCAACCTCTCTCTCTCTCTCTCTCTCTCTCTCTCTCTCTCTCTCTCTCTCTCAAATGACCTCCAGCGTTTGAGTTCTCTCAAGCGAACAGCTATTTTCGGCAAAAGGTGTTTCGCATTGTGTAATTGAAATTCAAATTTCGATTCGTGAAACCGCAAAACTAGCACATTTTCGCCAGAGATAGATAATAAGTCAACAGATAGTGTATATCATTATAATGACGTGTACGGGACTTTCTAACATGTGTTCCATTACCAAGAGGCTACAATTTTATGTTCAGCCATAATTCAGGCATTCCTTGATGTGTCTATCCATCATTTTTGCAGCAGACCGTTTTGGTTTTGTTTTGAAATCATTTCCGTTCGGGAAATGTGTATGGATACATGGTTCATTCTTGGTTTGTTTGAACAAAAAAAAAGTTTCTCCGAAGTGGCTGCACTTACCAAAGTACTTGTGACTATTGGTTAGTGAATATGATATGGCTGTCGATGACTCATCAATGTTGGACATTTTGCAATTGATGTTGCAGCGACTTTATCGAATGAAAATCTTGAATATACCGATTTACCGAAATGGTCTTTTGTTTGAGTTTTTGTTGTTTCCGACAGAAGCAACATGTTTAAAATACACATTTGTCCTTCAGCCATTTTTTTCCCCTTCCTTCTTCTTCTATTCACATTTTGACAGTCTATCTAAATTCAATTTACGAATATTTTCGATATCAAAATTTGTCGGGCTGTCATTTCATATCAAAATATCCTAATGATCCTGTGTAATTTACACAAATAATGAACGGCAACATCAATTCATTTGATTTGTATCAGGCAGCGTGCGCATTTTTGCGCAGTTTTCGTGCTTCTTCTTTTCCGTTCGTGTTTTTTTTTGTCGTCGTCGTCATTGGCGTTTCCAGTTCCATTTGAATCGAGCATACGGATTTGTGTAAACAAACAAACGCACGAAAAAAAAACGACACCGAAAAACAGACATTGGTTGATGATGACGGTTCAAGCGAGCACGACATGGAAATGTAATTTATGTATCATTTTCAACTTTTGCAGAAAAAGAAGAAGAAGAAGAAGAAGGAAAAAAATCGGTTCATCTATTTGATACGCAATTAAATATGTGCGGCACATTTTTCGTCATAACAATTCGATACACGCTTGCGTTGTTGTTTGTGCGGCTGATGTCGTCGTCGTACTCGTCGTACGTTTTGTGTCGAAAATCGATGTTGTTGCTAGGTTATGCCATTCTAATAAAATAATAAATAAAATCTAAATTAGAAATGCACGCTCAGCTCATATATTCTATTTCCAACATTATTCGATGTGTACATGTATGTATATGCTGTTGTTGTTGTTGTTGTTGTTGTTTCGTTGTTGTTGTTGTTGTTTCGTTGTGTAACGTTTCGATTGTTGCCATTTATTTTGTCGCTGTTGTTGCTGTTTTTTCTCCATTCCATGCTTTTCTTGGAACACGTGCTTTAATTAGAATTGTTTGTGAAAAAAATGTACACAAACACGGCATAACATAGTTTATTTATTTGGTTTATTCTTGCTCCCGTTTTTTTTTCGGGCTTCTCGATGTTATTGTTCCTTGACTACGCGACTCAAAATAACAACATCCACATACACTGGCCCCGAATAAAATGCTATAAAATAATGCGCACATTTCATGTGTGCACGAACGCAGAAAGGACATTGATTGTTATTTTATTATGGCTTGTGTTTTTGAAATGGACGCGAATTGCAGCCCATGTTTTTCTGATGCTAATGAACCACTTTCAAGTTTTTTTTTATAGTAAAATTTAGGGAGAAAACCTCACTATATCACTAAAAAAAGCAACGCATACACTATATAAAAACTTTGGTTGCCGAATTTTACCGCAATATTTTGATATTTGATGCATTTCCGGCCTTTTCACAACATCCAGTCGTGTTGCGTTTCGATTGTAAACAATTAGATAAATATTTTTTGTGTATTTACAACAGAATTCGAGCAAATATTTATGACATGACATCGAAAAACAATCCAGTGAAGTGCGTGAACAACTGAAACTCTTGTCTAGCTCTTGTTCCACCCGCTAACATTCAAGTTGTTGCGAAAGAAAATTCGTTTCGGTGATTTTTCATGAATTATTGAATGCATTCGTACATACGCCTAAATGCGCTTCGAAATATTTTCAATCTGTCATGCATCAATCAATGTGATTTCATCATTTGCGTAGAAGACTCCCTTCACGGCTGAATTTTTTTTCCCTTCCAAACCCACGGCCAAGTTGAGCCGAATATCGACTTTTCGACTTCACAAAGCAATATTTACAATATTCATCAATTGCCCAATGGCCATCATGGCTTATATTGCAATATCGAATCGACAGCAGAACGAAAATATGCAAAAACGATTTGAGCATAGAAAATCGAGTGGAAAAATAGCATGTTCTCTCGGAGGAATGTGTTCAGCTGTCAACATGAGAATGCAATGAAAAATCGTCACTTTGCCCATTTTTCTGCTGGAAAACGACTTATGTTTGAGATTTTCACGATCAAAGCGACATAATTCTATTAATTGCATCGACAGCAAGTGCACTTCAAGAGCCGCGTTGTTTCTTTTTTTTTCCCCCGTTTTATCTTATAGCTTATCCGCATTTCCGGTATTTCCCTCCCCATGTTGGCCCGATCGCAGTACGATTCATCCTCTTCATACATTCTTTATTTAACTCTGTCTGTCTGTCTGTCGGTTGGTCCTTCTATGGAATTTCCACGGCACAACTTTGTGATTGGGCAAGCATATTTCGATTGGCACAGACCGCATTTCGATTGACGGCATATTTGTCATTTTCCATAACTTCAGATTGAATACGTACCAATATCATATCAATTCATGCATGCTGAAATATTTGCCATTGCATCGAACGGATAAAAAATGTTTTGATATAAAATGCATTTCGTGAACCGGCGCACACACGCAAGCGATAAATATACAATAGACACAGACAGGGAGAAGGAGAGAATGTGTGCACGGCAACTGAATGAAGAATCTCATTTGTGAAAAAAAAGTATTTTTTAATTAAATTTTACAACAAATGCCACAATCAATATCGTTAAATTGCACAAAGGCACTGCTGTGCATCGTTCACCAATAATACAATGAAAAGAGCGAGAGAGAAAGAGCGACAGAGAAAGAGCGAGAGAGAGAAAAGAGAAGAAGATTCGGTGAATCGTCGAATTGTTAGTTTGGAAAAAGCGGACAAAGGCTGCCATCAATCGTGTTGAAGGATGCTTTTGTATTTGTGAAATGCGTCGAGACTTTGTGAAGCGTTAACAAATCGATGTTGGATCGTTAAAATCATTCTCGATTCAAACGAACCGGCAGCGGTAGCAGTTGTGGCCGGGCGGTACGTTCAGCATTTTCTGAATAGACCAGTTTTTCGCCTTAATTTGATGACACACGACTTTCTTTTGCATTCAATCAAATGCACGGAAATTTACAGTGACTGTGATCGATTTTCGGTACAAGTTCATGTTCACCATTTTGTATTGCCATCAAAAAGCGTTTGTGTTTTCTTTTTTG